TTGTGTGTGTGTTTGTTTATGATTGATGATGATAATGAATGCTTAATTCAAGAACTAATCAAGTTTTTTAAGAAATCAAGAATTTGATTTTTTTAGTATTTCCATGAGTAAACATAAAGTAATAGATTATCTTGAAAATGCTAATTTACTATCAAGTGCTTAAACATAGAAATATGACTTGATTCAAACAAGAGTTTTCAAGGTAACATTGTTAATCAATTACCATTCAGGGTAATAGATTACCAAATCTGTTACTAGAAAAGGATATTCAAATATCCTCCGTGTTAATAGATTACCACGCTTGTTACTGAAAAATATTTTTCAAGTACTTTCTGAGGTAACAGATTACCAAAGTTGGTAATAGATTAAAACAAACTCTATCAAAGTTTTAATTGTGTTAATCAATTACCACAAGACATAATCGATTACCACAGAATGAAAGACAATCCTGGATCTTAGAAAGCTCAGGATAATCGATAATTACCATATCCCATAATCAATTACCCTGGAGATATTTGTGTTTCTGGTTTATTTTAAATAAGAGCTGGTAACAACTACCATATCAGGTAATAGATTTTCTCTGTTATTACTCTTTATAAATGAATCATGTCTTGCACTCTATAAAATAAATCTTTTTGAAATTAAAAAGAAAACTTTTAAAGACTTTTTGAAAATCTTTTGAAAGAAAAATATTTGAGAAAAAGATTACTTTCAGAAACAAGAGAGTTTTCAAGGTAACATTGTTAATCAATTACCATTCAGGGTAATAGATTACCAAATCTGTTACTAGAAAAGGATATTCAAATATCCTCCGTGTTAATAGATTACCACGCTTGTTACTGAAAAATATTTTTCAAGTACTTTCAAGTGTTTTAAGTGTCTAAGAAGAGGTCACATTATTGTCTCTCAATACCCTACCAAAAAGACCATGATCATGAGGGGCCTAGATGAGCACTATAGTAGTCAAGATGAGATTACATCTTCTTCTCCCACCTCTAGTGGAAGTGAAGAAGAAAAGGGTAGTATCTAAGGTAGAGAATGATTATCCTTGTGATAGTGATCTCTAATTGATTTAAATGCTTCTTGGAAGCCAACCTTGAGAAATAAGCACTTCCCTAAGAGAGAACATCTTTTACACAAGATGTAAAATTTTAGAACAAACTTGTTTTCTCATTATGGATAGTGGATCAAGTTATAACTATTGTAGAACATCTTTATACAGGGTCAGTTGCCCTCACTACCATTCTTTATTTGAAACCTTACAAGTTTTAATAACTTAATGAAAAAGAGGATATATATGGTAGTGAATTAATAAGTGAAGGTTAAGTTTCCTATTGATAGAAAATTCATGCATAATGTCCTTACTAATGAAATATCCTTCACATATAAGAAAAAGAAATTTGTGTTACATCTTTTTATACCTAGCCAAATGGTAGATGATCAAATGCAAATGAAACTTTTGAGGGAAAAAGTAAGAAAATAAAATAAAAACAAAAACAACTTATAGAAGGTGAAAGGATTGAAAATGAGGAGAATGTTTCTTCTACAGAGATTGGATTATGTGTGGGAGCTATTGTATTGAAGGGTGGGAACCCTATTGCTTCTCTAAAGATAAATCCTTATGGTGTCACTCTTAACTACACCATCTACAACAAAGAGTTACATGCACTTTTTCAAGGCTTCCAGTCTTGGGGACATTACTTTGTTCCTAACAAGCTTCATAGTTATAGTGACCCTAAGTCGTTTTGTTCTTTAAGAAGGTAAGGAAACTTAGTTGTAAATAGTTCATTTTTTAGGAGTCTAGGTGATTCCATAAGACACCCACCCAAGGCAAGCCTTTTTAAATGTTAGTGAAAAACCTTTTTTTTATAAAGAAAATAGAAAAATATAGTTTGAGTTTAAATAAGAGAAAAAAGGTTCAAGAGGACTGCAAGAAAATTAAAATTATTATGGATAGACCCATTTCCTATATAGAAATGATACATAGGATAAAGTCTTTTGTTTTTCAAGAAAAGATTATTTCTTACACCTGTGAAATACTTTCTTTTGCAAGTGTTAAGGAAGACGAAGGTGCTTAAGATTTGATGACAAATCCTTTTGAGGTTTATGACATAAAGTGCATGGAATCAATTCAAAAGGAACCAAGAGGAGTGCGTTAGGTTCGAAGGAAGAAAGCTCAAATTCTTATTGAGCTTTGTCTCACTTTTAATAATCCATTTTCTCTTCTTTGTATTTATTTTTATTGGAAATATTTTATTAATTTTGATTTTGTACTTTTGGGTCAAATAGTGTAGAAATTTATTTAGATATAATTTTCTTCTTAAAAGTATATTTAGTATTTTAAGGGAGTGCAACTAATAATTGACATGTATTTGTTAGGCTTGTATGACCCATGAGAGTGTAGACTCATATATCCATTATGGTGGACGAAAATTATGATCTCACACATTTTCTTATTAGTTCATACATCACCCACCAATAAGGATGACAATAAGATGAGTACAAGTTTCAATATACTCGTTCTTATTGTCGAATTCGTATCATATATTCATTTTTATTTCCATCGGATATTGGGTATATTAATACTTGTTCTATGTGGATAATTTTATAAAAAAATTTACTAAAAAATTTTAAAAGGTTGGTAGTTGAATTTTTCTTCAAGGAGATTGTGCATTATCTTAATTTAATGTTTTTTTTAGATACGAAAATATCAAAGATGAAACAGGAGACAGAGAAAATTGTGGTGGACGACGAGAGGTATTGTGGGGTGGAGGGGCCAGCACCGGACCCGTCCACGTAAGTGCTGCGAGAAAGGACATAGTTCAGCAGAGACAGCATCACCACGTGCACTCGCGACAGCACCAACCGCAACCTCATTCCATGATCTAATCCTAAATTCCCATGTAAGATAATCCATGTTCTTATTAACTCCATCACGAGATCCCCATTTTTTCACTCTCAAGTTCTTCTTGCACAAAAGAAAACAAAATAATATGCATTTTATTTTTTAAATTAAAAATAAATGCAGTTTTAGATATTTCAAAGCTATTTTAATTAAAATTGAAATTTTATCTCAATCATCTATATTATAAAAAGTTTGCATAAAATGTCAGTGTAACTACTAAAATAAATTTATTCTTCCAATTAAAAAATAACATTAAAAAAATCATCTAAATTTTTTGTATGTATTTAATTTTCATGTACTACTAATATAAATTTTTTTATACTACTAATCAATATTAAATCGTTCCAATAAAAATCATATTGTAAAACTCATATATAATTACTTGTAGTTGAGTAACATGTTATACTTTTAAGTATGGGGGGTTAGCTGAATCAATCCAAATATGTTCCATAAAATATTATATTTGAACATGTTTAGATGAATCAATCCAAATTTTGAATCAAATTTAAAATATATCTTTATAAATATGATTTAAACATGTTCTACTTCATGCTAAGCTCAAAAAACTAAACTAAAAAATAAAAAATCAGACTTAAACTTCATTTTAAAAACTTCGATTTGCATTTTATTTGCCCCTCTAAACTTATGATCGGATGAATCATTGCGTATATTATATTTATTTTAAACTTCTGTCCTATAAATTCTAATTAAATTCTTCATACATATATTTTTTTTATTCAGAGAAGACCACAAGGCCAAATTCTTCGTATAATATAAAAACAGCACCAAAAGCTTCATCTAAGTATTATTATTTTCTTTATAATAAGGAGTTGAAATCTTCACCATCTTCACTAAGTACTAGTTGCGGTTCTTTCGAAGCCCCTTTCTTCCATCACAAAACGCAAATCCCGATACAAAAATTTTCATGTTCTAATCACTGTGAACGTCAAAACTCAGTAGTACAAAAAATTCATCACCCATTTCTCATTTCTAATTTCTCTGTCAGCCTTTCACTAGGTAATCCATTTGTTACTTTCTCTTCTTTCACGATTCAATCTTATTCATTTGGATCAATGATGCCATTCTTTTGTACATATTTTCTATATTTACATGTGTTTTGTTTGAAAATTCTCTGTTTTGATTTAATGGGTATTGGAATTTTCTATCATTTAGAATGCAGGCATCAACTTTTGGTGTTAAAGGACCCACTTTTGGGGTTCAAGAGCGAAAGGGGTTGGTGGGGTTTAGAGAGTTCAGAAACGGGAGTGTTCTGAGACCCAGAAGAGTCTGCATGAGAAACAATGAAACTGATCTTTGCGGGTTAAGGCTTGGTTCTGTCGCTATGGAAACTGAAGTAACTCGTACTAGAGTTGGTTTTGGTGGCATTTTTGGGCCCTCTGTTAAGCCCAGATCAGTGAGGGCTATGGCTTCTGGTTTGTATGCTGTTGCTGTGGCTTTGATTTGTTTGGTTTATTAGCAATTGTGAAAATTTTTGGACTGCATTGCCAGCGATGTGTATGTAATGTGCTTGGTTTCTTGGATTGTAGATGGGCCACGTATTATTATTCTTAAAGATGCCATGTTTGCCTTTCTTGACAAAATTGCTTTTTTTTATTTTTTTTTTATTTTTATGTTTGATTTTGTTGTTAATGAACTGCGTTGATGTTTTCTAACAGGGCTTGGCTTGTCTATGTGTGTTTGCTGTTTTTGACTCAGTTAGTTAAGACTGTTGCTTGATTTCCCCAACATAAAATTCTGTGATTGATTTTAGGAGAATGCAGATCATGATAAATTAATTAATAATATGATACAATTTGATAACTTTCTTTCTAGCTGTTGCATATACTTATATCTTCTTAGTTCTTACAGATACTCATAGCGAGTAAAATTGAGTTGCAGATGGAAACATTGAGGATGTTGTTCAACCTATTCCTCAGGGAAAATCTTCTGGAACTGTTCTACCCTATGTCGGCGTTGCTTGCCTTGGAGCCATTTTATTTGGCTACCATCTAGGGTATGGATAGCCTCTTCATATTAGAATGAACGGACTATAATGCATTGTGTCATTTTCTTTATGCTGCCATCTTAAGTTATAAAAATGATATGAGTAACTTGTGGAGATCTTTATGTATTTTTGCTACTACACATGTGTATAACCGCTACTATTTTTATTTAAATAATATGTTCGTGTTGGAGAACTCTAACATCCCTGTTTGGTGTAGAGTGGTAAATGGTGCCCTTGAATACCTTGCTACGGATCTTGGAATCATTGAAAATACTGTTCTACAAGGTGCATGCTTTATTTATGTGTGTATTCATAAATTTTTTTATTTATTGATTTTATAGGTAATAAAATTATAGATAGATGAAAATGCTGTTTCTTGATTTACACACACATATCATTAAGGGCAAATTTTCAATGTGCATTAGCAGAAAATTAGTTGAGCTTTATGGAAGAAAGTTTAAATGATTTTCTTAATTATTTTGTTGACATGAATTTAGCTTCACTTTCATATGTGCCGTCAATTGTTTTCTCTTGATTATCATGAGTGAAAATCCATGAACAGGCTGGATTGTCAGCACACTACTTGCTGGTGCCACTGTTGGCTCATTTACTGGTGGATCATTGGCTGACAAATTTGGAAGAACTCGAACTTTTCAATTAGCTGCAATTCCTCTAGCAATTGGAGCATTTCTTAGGTCTGTCAGTTGATCTTCAGGATGAGATTTTATATTTTTATATTTTTGAAATCTGACATCATAAACAACGATATATTTACAGTGCTACAGCCCAGAGTGTTCAACCAATGATCATTGGTCGCTTACTTGCTGGTATAGGAATTGGTGTTACATCAGCTATAGTACCATTATACATATCTGAGGTAATTTATAAGTTATTATTATCTTTGTGATCATGATTACATAATGTATATGGACTATATGGTGATTTCTTCTAATGCACAGATTTCACCAACTGAAATTCGTGGTGCACTCGGTTCTGTTAATCAACTTTTTATATGTATCGGGATTCTTCTGGCACTGGTGGCTGGGTTGCCTCTGGCACGAAACCCTATATGGTATTGAGTTGTTTCACCTTAGCACTGTTTTTTTTTTCTTTCAGGGGGAGGGGGTTGGATATTTTCACCTAGCCTCTTTTTGAACTGTTTATTTATTCTGGTGATTGATATCATCCAGAGATGGTAAAATATTAGAAGAAAGTGGAGGTATTTGTGTTTTTTATGTGACAAATAATTTGACAGAAGAAAACATGTTCCTAGAAGAGAAAATTTCACGAAGGTTTTATGGATGGTCCCTTGCCCCTACCTATCTCCAAAGTATTTTCTCAATAAGAACTGATGTCAAGGTTTTGATTGGGGGCTTGGGGCTAAATATAGGTAGTTATTTTCTAATAGATGGATTTCTTTAGTTTAATAATATGACATGTCCCACCACTTGTTGCTTGTTTTAATCTTCCCATCATCTTTGACATGAATGAATAAGAGAATTTTCTTATGAACATGTGCTTTGGAATAAAAATGCAATTGCAAATTTTCATATACTCTGGTCAGTGGTTATTGAAATTCTGTGTTGAAAAGCTGCCTTAATTGCGGTCATCCCTAGTCCACCTTAGTTGTGATCTCTTTGGTAGATGCCTTAATTGCAGCTTCAAGGGTGGTGTAGTGTTTAGTCCCACATTAACTATAGATATGGCCTAAATAGAGCTTATAAAGCTTGGATAGTCATCACTTTACAAGCTAGTTTTGCGAGATTAAGTCAGGCTTTAACCCAAATTCTAAGATTTAGACACTATGATGAAGGATAAACTGTAGTATTCAACAAGCAATATGAAAATTTCATGTGCACCAAATGATATTAATTCCATTTTTTTAACCCGGGGGCTTACTTTTGTCAATATTTGAAGTCAGTACTTAATATTTCTACTATATAGAAGTCATAGCTTGTTATAGCTACCATCTGGATTCACTGGAAGTTTTACACCTCTGCACATTTGTCTCGAAAATAATTATTCCTGACTGATTTGGTCATGTAACATGTTAGTTTCAAGTTAGATCAAAAATTTTTGTTGTCTTAATTGTTTTTAATTTATTTTCCTCTTGGGTGATCAAAAACATTTGGTGGTCAGATTTCTACTTCTAGTTCATTTAGTGTTTTTAATTTTATTTTATCAGGTGGCGGACAATGTTTGGCATTGCAGTAGTTCCATCTGTTCTGTTAGCACTTGGAATGGCAATTTCACCAGAAAGCCCCCGTTGGCTTTTTCAGGTTTTCCTTTGATTATGTGGTATCTTTTGTTATGGAAGCAATAAATTCATATGACAATTAAACTACTGGGAAAGAAAATTACTTTTATACAAATCAATGGCTTTTTTATCTAATAATTGTATCACAAACCTAACCATGGGACTTTGTCATATAGTGACAACCTTGCAGACCTACAAGCTTATTTAAAGACTGGGAAGTACAGCACATTGAAGTGAAGATTATATTGAATTTTAAATATAATTAAGACTATGTGAATTTCCTTAAATGCTTAAACTGGATTGAAACAGTTGTGATACTTATGTTTTGTTATGTAATGCAACAGAACATACATATTATATGTAGAAGACGTGTCTTTTATATATGTTAAGATATACTTAAGAGGTTAGACACTATCAAATTCCTTAAATGATTAAACTAAATTGAAATTGAAAGTGTTGGGATACTAATACTGTTATATAATCCAACAGAACATACATATTATGCATAGATGATGTGTCTTCTATGTATATCTGTTGAGAGTTTAATGCAATAATTTTATTGTTGGTTTTCTGACAAAATTGTATATATTATTTTCAGCAAGGAAAAATTGCTGAAGCTGAAAAGGCTATTAAAACACTCTATGGAAAAGAAAGAGTTGCTGCAGTTATGTATGACTTATCAACTGCAAGTCAAGGTTCATCTGAACCTGAAGCAGGATGGTTTGATCTGTTTAGTAGCCGATATTGGAAAGGTATCCTAAATTTCGGTCAGGACTGATTCTAGATTTGATCAAAAATACTTTTTGCTGATAATACTAAGCTGCATCTTTTGAAGGTCTTTTCATTAAAATTTCCTTTCAAGGGTGTTTGTGTAAAGGAGGTTCAATGTAAAATAATGGTTGTGACAATTTTATCTTGAATGATGATTCATGAAAATCAATTATCTTGGTTCAACGTAAACCCAATGCATAGATCAGATTTGATAACACATGTGACTTCCCTTAGATGTTTGATTTCATTGAGGCCCTTCTTTTATATCTGATATATTTGTGTGAAGAATTTATTAAACAATAATTTTTCTGATAACTTTTTCTTAGTTTACTATATAGTTGTTTAAATGTATTCTTATATAAAATAGTATGATTTAAAATATGCCTCGTTGCAGTTGTCAGTGTCGGGGCAGCACTTTTCTTGTTCCAGCAGTTGGCTGGAATAAATGCTGTAGTGTATTATTCAACTTCTGTGTTCCGTAGTGCTGGCATTGCTTCTGATGTTGCAGCAAGTGCCTTGGTTGGTGCATCAAATGTTTTTGGTTAGTATTTTTTAATCTTAAATATGTTTTTTGTGCATTTAGTAAAAAAGGTGATTGTACATGTTGCACAAGCAAGATATTGTTTTTTGATTGATGTGTTATTTTGTTGCAGGAACTGCTATTGCTTCCTCCTTGATGGACAAACAAGGAAGGAAAAGTCTCCTTATCACAAGCTTTAGTGGGATGGTAATAGTTATTTTCAGTGCACATCTGTGTTAGACCCAAAGCACAAAGTTTTAGATATTCCATGAAAAATTAATGATATGCATGAAACATCACAAGATTAAATGTAAAATATTATTTTTGTGGGCCCAATGCTTTGCCTGGCTAAACTTGTCCAGAGTAAAAGAAATATATCTTTTGCATGGTTGGACTTTGGTAGTGACATGGTGCATGGTTGGTTCATGCGTCCAGATATACTTTTTCACTTCAAATGTTAGTTTAGACACGAGCATTTTGATAAGTCAGAAACTATCTCCTTTCAGCATTCATCTCAGCTATGATACTTGAAAGGTCTACATGGCAAAACATGAATACAAGTAACACTTACTTATCAGTACTCACGATATACTAGAAATGCTTCTGCAGAAAAACAACTGTATTCACCCTACTCGAGTTGCTGATTTGCTTTTCCATCTTTGAATATTCTCTTCCTAATCCTCCACATACTTTTGTAGTTGAACCTTTAGTTTTTATTGATGTGTGTGGAAATTGATTGCAATTTGCAAATATCATTTTGATTCGACCCAAGCTGGTAAGTGGTAAGTATGGCATGTGGATTCTATTGAGTTTATTACTTACTAAGGGGAGTCAGGAGACTCGTATGCCAGTCAGACGAGGTGCTTTGCAAGAGTGTATGCCCTTGTCTGGCTAGTACTTGGGAATGGAAGAGTTTATAGATACTACTATGCCATATTTTAAAATGTGAAAGATAAAAATAGGCAATGCAATTTTGAGAAGTACAAATAACAGGTTAAACTTTATCTTTTCTACTTCTCTCATTCCCCTTTTCTCGTGCAAGCTTATATTTTATTCCACTCTTGAAGTAAGGCAATTTTTAAGCATTTATTATGTTCGATTTCATTTCATGATAACATGTTAGAAGCATAATTAGGTTGGTAGGTATGGATCTATCCTTACCCTTTGTTGCTTAAACATAACTTGAAATAATTTTGTTTATAATTCAAATCCCTGTCCTCCTGGATGACACGATGCCTTTGTATTTATGTCTCTGTTTGGCACACGATCAAACTAAATATCCATTCCAATGGCTTAATTTTATTTCTGGTGCTATAACTTTTTTGACTTATTCTAAGCTATGTAACAAAACATCCTCCATTTTTCATTTGTATAATTGACATCCTGTTTTTATGTCTCTCCCAGGCTGCTTCTATGTTGCTTCTTTCTCTGTCTTTTACTTGGAAGGTTCTTATACCATACTCTGGCACCCTTGCCGTCCTTGGGACTGTTCTGTAAGTCATTTAATTTGTCAATAATAGTGATAGTGATTTCATTCTCTGAAAGATTAAAACTTCAATGAACCTATAGGTTCATTTATTATTTAAGTTTTCTATTTGTGATGACTGCATAATCTATGAATCTTAACCAGCTATGTCCTATCCTTCTCTCTTGGTGCTGGTCCTGTGCCTGCCCTTCTTCTACCGGAGATATTTGCTTCTAGAATTAGAGCAAAAGCGGTTTCTTTGTCATTAGGCACGCATTGGGTGAGTGACTTCACTGTGGAATCGAATATTTTACCTTTGGTCAATGCCTTTATCTTGCAACAAAATTTTGATATCATACTTCTTGAAAGCTAAAACAAGCTACAATTTTTGTTCTTTGTAAGAGTAGTTGCTGTAAGTGTGAGCTTACCAAACATCCAACTTGCTGTTAAATAAAAAAACAGAAGTATCTTGACTTGCCACCCATAAGTCATAATTCTCGCAGTTTTGCTTTCTACACATTGATTTTCTAAGTGAGTTGAAGAAGCATTCTTTAGAAAATTTTCCTTACCCAATTTATTGCTACATTAAGCAATTTCAATAATAATTATTTTATTCGTTGCCTTCATATTATTTTGACGATGAAACTATGGATTTTTTTGGTATAATCAGATCTCCAACTTCGTCATTGGCCTCTACTTCTTGAGTGTTGTAAACAAATTCGGTATCAGCTCTGTCTACCTGGGGTTCTCAGCTGTCTGTGTTCTTGCTGTTTTGTACATAGCTGGTAATGTTGTGGAAACAAAGGGTCGATCATTGGAGGAAATAGAACGTGCTCTCAGTTCAGCATGAAAATCTTCCAGGAAATGCATGTGTTCATAATTCCTATGCTGCTCACAGAACTGTTAATAACTTGTTTAGTGTAATCAAATTTTGCTCATGTGCAAATATGGGAATGATGTGTGAGCTTTGTTTAAGCATCTGTGATAAGTACTATCTTTTCAAACCGATAGTTCTTGTCACACAATGTATGGCAGATATCAGCAAGAACATTCTCACTTCCTTTGTTAAATTGAATAAATTGGACGTCCTTTCTTTAAAATTGAGAGTGATAATTTTCACGATCTTCTGATATAATAAACAAGTGTTGACAATCTGAGTTTCTTGAAGGAATGAATAATAATATTGGATTTGTATAGTGAAAATAATAGACGAATGGTATAACTACATAAGAGCATCTCAGAAGAAAAAGGTGACAAAGCGGCGAGTATATATCCTGATATGCACTCTATTAGGCCTCTGGACCATTGGTGTCATAAGAACTTATGCTGAAATGCAGTAACTTTGTGCACAATTGTCACATCAAGATTTTCAGTTACACGATGTGTCCTATAAAAATATAATCGTGACAATAAAGTATCACTACAATCATCCAAAGATTGGACAAGCAATAAATGATTAGCTAAGTGCATAAGAGGCTTGTGTACTATTTAAACTCACACAACAGCTATTCAGTACAAAGAAAAAATATCAGTTTCCCCAAAGACATGAATTGATACCTGAATTATTGTCTTATTTCTTCCACAATTATGAATTAAAAAATAGAAAAAATTACAGTGTTTCCTTAACACATGTTTGTATTGTTTTGATAAAATCGATTTCTTAAGAATTAACCATATTCTTAAACTAAAAGAGCAACATTTAGCATGACCATCCAAATTTATTTCACTCAACTTGAAATGAACAGAGAAAAATGCAGATAACTAATAAGAAGCAAATGAAATGAAGCCTTAAACAAGAAATTCATAGCTTTTATTTTCTATCTGAAGCTCAAATTTGTTTCATGAATTCACTGTAGATAACATTAGCTCATTACATATCAAGTTTATTTGCTAATTGCTATAAACAATAACAGCAGTGTTGTTACTGATAATCATGGTGTTACACGTCAACTTTAAAGCCCCAAAATATGAAAACTAATAAACATGGTGTACATGTCAAATTTTTAAAGCCCAAAAATATGAAAGCTGATGTTCCCAATGCATGTGCTACATTTGCAACTGCAACACCATCTCGAACACCCCATGGTTATCTGGCCTCCAACAATTGTCATTTTATAATCATCTTAAGTAAATTTTATAGATTCTTCATTGCAATTCCATGGTGATATCTACATGTTGGATTTCCTCTCCCACCTCTCCTTGGCGTCAAGCCTACAAAATGTTAACGATAGATGCATAAAATTGTGAACCACTCACATGAAACAACACAAACAAGTGAAATAACCATATATAAATGGATAAAAAAACAATTACAATAGTATAAACACAACCAGTAATGCGTGATGTGTAAACAGAGATTAACTATTGCTAACTAAGATCTATCAACCAAAGTGGTGTGAATTGTAATATACATACCCCCAATGCAATTTTTGCTTCTTTAATGCAGAAAACACAGGCACACCATCCTTTGAGTCTTCATTCCCAGAATCAAATCCTTCACAATCATTCAAGAAGCTTGTTGATTCTTTGTGATCAACTTCTACACTTTGAATTCCACTGTTTTGGCTTGATAAATCACCCCCTTGTGACTTTTTGTTGACCCCATCTAATATAACACATGTAGAAGAAAACATCAACAACAATAGCATCAGCAATGCATAATCAAATACAATTAAGAATTAAAGAAAGAACCTTTGGGTTTCGTTTTGAACTTTGATTTCGACTTTAGTTGCAAACGCCTCTTGTGAAGTTCCTACCATATTTAAAAATTCAAATAACGTTAATAAGGAAGAGCG